GGATTCTCCAGGCAAGAATACTGGAGTGGGTTGCCATTCTTCAGGGGATCTTCCTGAACCAGGGATTAAACCCTGCATTCCAGCATTGCTGGAAGATTCTTTACCATCTGAACTACCAATGATTCTATACCCATGGACAAAAATAAGGTCTTTTTCTAAAGGAGGCTCGGCAGGGATGTGGGGAACCCCCTTAAAAAACATGGGTTTTAGTAAGCCTGGGACCTTCACATATGATATTTTGTGCAAACTGAATCCTGAATTAATGTCTTTTGATGGAATGATTGAGATTTTTAAAATCAAAGCAATAGATGCAAATTTAATGTATATCCAGTACTGTGCAGGGTGTAGACATGACTAAATCCTCCAGTAATTTATAGTTTGCTTTTATTCAATAAAGTATGATGATCATGATCATGCAAATAAGTCAATCAAGATAAAATTAAACAGTGGCAACAACAACATCAAGAGTGCCCCAGGCTTTACGGAATAAGCTGCCAGCTAAGCTGGTCAGGCAGCAGCTGTCTTATGGGAAGTATGTGCTTTCACAGAGCTCTGATCACTTCATGCCCAAACTGTTGGCAGACATCACTAATCAGCCACCAGACTTCATCCTGCTGGGCCAAGATGCATCCCTCAAATCTTTCCCAATGCAGTGTTCTTGGCAGACAATTAGCTAGAGCTGGCTGGCAAGATGAAATCTATTTGTTAACCCTGTCTTATATTATTCCTCACATGATATGGTTTGCGTTCCCTGATCTTATTTATCACTCTCTTGGATTCTTGGCAGATGGTTTGGATTTTTCTCATTGAACATCTATTTCAAGCTCCTTCTGGAAACTCACTCTTTGTTGTAGAAACAAGAAAGTTAAATACTACTTAACCCAGACTCCCTTGCAGCTAGAGATCTGTATTTTAGTTCCACTTGAATTTGGAACAGAAGGGAGAGAGGCAGGGCTGGGCCAGAGTTCTGAGATCACAGCTCCTGAACATAGGGTTCCATGTTCCATAGGGTTCCATGGCAGAGGTGGGCTGAGTCTGGGAGACAAGAGTTGTTCCTAGAACCCCCTCCTAGATCTGGTTCTTTAAGTCCTTCCAACTAGCTTGTAAGCCACCGAATACCTGGCACCAAAATCTTTTTCTTTTAAATCTAATAAAATGCTCCTGTTGTCTATAACTGAACACTAATCTATAGAGAATTTGTCCCTTAAAATAGCTATTAATATAAAGTCTGCCTTAAACCAAGTAGAATAGCTTTCTATTTCTACCCTTATCCAGAAAATAGATTTCTGTGAACAGATACTGATATCATGACAAGTACTGAAAAACTTCAGCCACCAGATATGTAGCTAAGAGTCTGACTTTGTACAATTCTCTCAATTTCTCTGAGCCTCAGGTTCCTCATCTGTGAAATGAGAGAAATGCTGGCCACATCTATCTCTAGCAATCTTTACACTTGACAAAATGATTTTCTACTATGGCTCTTTAAATAGCTAGTTATCCACGAAATTTTCAAAATCTACTGATCATCTACTCTGCATCTTTCTTGCATAAAGTGGATTTTTTTTAGTAAATTATTGATCACTGAAGAGAGAGTTGACCTGAAGTTACTTCTAAGATAAGAACCTTATAGCTTAAGGAAATTTTGGGGTTCCTATTTCCATTTTACAGATAAAGAAACTTAGGATCATGAAGAAGAAATGACCTAAATTCAGATATCTATGGGATGACACTTGTTTCTTATTCTACAAACTGTAACATCCTCCTTTCATTATTTCACTTTTACCAAAGAGAAAAGGGGAAGAATATAATGCAAAATTGGGTGCTTATTCTTTGAATGGAATGAAGGCGGTAAACTAATGTTTACATTTTTATTTCTCAGCAAAGCTCATTTAGTATATGACCAGCTCCTGTGCCATGGTTCTTTATGTCTTTTTGATACTTATTCAACTTCAAACATCTAACATTTCATGTCTATACATGTTTGCATGCAGGCTAATTCACTTCAGTCATGTCCAACTCTTTGTGATCCTATGGGCAGTAACACACCAGGTTCCTCTGTCCATGGGATTCTCCAGGCAAAAATACTGGAGTGGGTTGCCATGCCTTCCTTCAGGGGATCTTTTGGTCCAGGGATCAAACCTGTATCTCTTATTCTCCTGCATTGGCAGGCAGGTTCTTTACCATTAGTGCCACCTCAGAAGCCCCTATACATGTTTATTTACATCCAAATTTGATTGTAAACTTTTTGATAAGTATCTGATCTTAACATTTCCAGTGAACTTTGATGCATCTTGTATCAGACAGGAATTCAATAAATGTTTGTTATTATTTACTTAAATTATACTTAAAAGTAAATAAAATTTTACCTCCATTAGGAATCAAGAGGATAAAAATTCAGGGTACTTTTTTTTAAAGTCTGCTCTGACTCCATCATTATTATTATGTAGCTGTTGTTTTTGTTATTTTTCCCCAGCTCATTTAAGGTAATGTTCAAAATGTACATTCACTGTAGAAGAATAAATTAACAGATTTAAAACATGAGAGATGATTAAAAAATATAAAGATAAGCATTATAATTCTTTTAGTTAATATATAATTAGTCAATGTGGGTTTTAAATCAGATATTGAACTTCCTAGTAGCAAAAGCTAGAAGTAAATCATAACATTTGACCAAAAACACACTGATTGGTACATATAAATATATAAGATGCTTGAGATGATAGGTTTTCCTAGAACTGAGTGGAAAAGACCACTTAACAGAAGTCGGAATAATATAAACAATTACACAATTTTCATAACATCTATAATATAGAATATATGTTATCTACATTACAGCTCACCTAAGCCGCACAAAAGTTCTGATGTATGTGTTTACTAGTAGTGTTTCAATTTTTAAATGAAAGGAAGAGAAAGAGGAAGAAAGGAAAGAAAAGAAAGGAGAGATGAGAGAGAAAGAGTGTGAGAGACTGAATCAGGTTCGTCTGGATTCAAAGCCCATGTTTTGCTGCTGAACCAGTCACCTCCTTACCAACCAACATATGACCTGGAACAGGTTGCTTACACTTTTCCCCATGACATTCATTGCTCATGATCTTCAGATATGGAATAATGACCCTGTCTTCCCTGCTATAAAGGGTCCTGGAGACAAATATTGAAATGCATGTGGAAGCCCTCTGAGGTACTATGATAGCTATTGAAAATCTGCTAATTGCACTACCAATAATATTAACAACTATCATTAAATTACCGAAAAGAATATAGAATTATATAAATCAATAGTTTGATTTGCACATGGTATAAGAGATATTGCTAATTATTCTCAAATTCTCATGGTTGGTGTTCTCTGATTTCTGGCCTCATATCCTTTCAGAGGTGTAGCCAGCATAGGATGACAAAAGGAAGGGAGGAGTTTGCCTAGTGACTCTGTTAAGAGAATGCTTGCAAAATATGTCTCAGTTTTATCTTCTGAGGAAATTTGGAGTCTAGTCTTGCCTTGGGGCAGGCTAGGATTACAGTTGTACATGTCATCAACCTGTCACAAAAAGCCACTGCCTGGGCCTGCGGTTGCCTTAGTAACCTTTCTCAGCAAGCATTTAAGGAAAGTGTCCTAATGTAAGTGTTGTAGAAAGAATCCATATGATATTTACCAGACTAAGGAGATTCACTTTCATGGCCCAAAGGATGCGGTAGGTGGGGTTCCTAATGGCTAGTGAATGTCTTCTTTACAAGAGCACTAATCCAATGTAACATCTACAAAACCTACCACCATGCTCATTTCCATGGAAAATAGGGTGCTTAACTGAGAAACGCATGGAAAGTAAAGATTTCTACAAAATTCAAAGGGTAAAAGAAATTCACTGTACTATCTAACAACATCACGTTATTGAGTAAGCCAAGGAAGTTACAAATTCCCCTGGAGGCAAGAATAAGGACAGACTTTTTTCCCTGGTAGCTCAGACAGTAAAGCATCTGCCTACAATGCAGGAGACCGGGTTCAATCCCTGGGTCAGGAAGATCCTCTGGAGAAGGAAATGGCAACCCACTCCAGTACACATGGCTGGAAAATCCTGTGGATGGAGGAGCGTGGTAGGCTATAGTCCACGGGGTTGCAAAGAGTCGAACACGACTGAGCGATTTCACTTTCACATTTATGTCTAACTCTATAATAAAAACTGATGAAGAGGACACAGGAAGTGCAGTTTCCTTTTAAGAAGATCTCAGTGAATGTATCAACGAAATTGAGAGAGAAAGGAAGATTTTTAGACCAATCATTTCTTTGTTTCCCTTGCTTACACAATGTTTTACTGACATCATAGGTTGTTAGGGTTAAAAGCAGGGAGGCTTGTTTCCAGGCAACCATTCAGAGAACAAGGATGAAGGTAGCTCTGTTATCTTTAATCTGTGATTTTAAAGATTTCCCTGGGGATCATTATTCCAACAGCAGGAAGGGGAAATCGTGAAGGAGCCCACAGGAAGAATGTATGGCTGTGTTTAGAAGTGACCTCATCCATTTCTGTTCTCATTTATTGGCTGAAATTCAGGCACATGGCCAAATCTAAAGGCAAGGCAGGTTGGGAAATGTAGTCTAGCTGTGGATTCAGAAAAGGGAAAGAAGATGGAAATGGATTTTTCTCTGACACCTTGTTTCTTGCTATTAATATAATCTTAATTTTTTGGTAATTAAACTTCTCACTTTATGGATTGTCCTAGAGGTTTGACATTCCTTTGAAATGACACTTTAGAATAAATATTTTTTATAAGGGACTCATCTATATTCATGCGAGATTTTCTGGATATTTGTAGATTTCTTAAGCCCACTATTTAATCATATGATTTTTCAATGGCACCTTGGGATCAGGGACCAATCATTTCCTAAATGCCACTTATTTGCAGAAGTAAGCAGCAGCATCTTTCTTAGAGTTTATTATAGGACCACTTCAATAAAGCTATTTTGAAGACAGGCACACCTCTAAAGTAATCTAAGCCAAATTAGCCGATACCTGCAGCTGACAAGAAGGATAAGAGTATTCAGTCCTGCTCCTGTCTCTGACATCAAACAGTGTCTGGAAGAGGCATGTTGATTTTCACCAGCATGAATATCAGCAGTTGCAGACACCTATTAGGGGAGGAAAGTGATGGACAAGCACGGCCTATAAAGAGATTGACATTGCTGGGCACGGTGCTGAGGATTAATCCTTCACCGCTGTGGGATGCCAAGCCAAACCGAAATCCAACCATCATGGAACACGTTCAAATCAGTAGGTCTATACAAACCTCTAAATGATTACTTTGAGCAGAGGGGAAGTGTTCCATTTGCTACCTGCTGTAGAGAGTTTAGTTGCTAACACTGAAGAGGGGAGAAAGGTTTAAAATAAGCTATTTTTCATATGCTTTAAGACCATTATTCAAGAATAACATAAGAGAGGGTAGTTATAAAACCCAAATGGATGACACACTCCATTTCTTGTCTTCTGACAATAAATGGCCAAAGTGACTTCTGTACTTGGAAGTAATTCTATTTAGCAGTGTTTGTTCACTGTCTTGTCTTATTACAACAACCATCCAATAATGATGCACACTTAGGATTTAACTTGTTTCAGACAGTGACTTTTAGGTTTCTTTACAGATGAGCACAGGTTAGGATTGATCATTGGTTCCATAATGCTCAGTGCTCAGACTGTATCTGAAAGAAAGAGTATGGATAGGAACTGTTAAAAACTAGTATAAACTTATTCAAAAGGAGATTAATTAATACAGTTCTTTGTCCTCTTTTTTTTCAGTCTTTGTTTTCTTCCTCCACCTGGAAAATTCCTAGTCATCCCTCATAGCCCATGATGCTGTCTCTCTGAAGCTCTTCCCAACTCCGGTAAAAAGAGCATGCTGCTTTGTCTTCTGTTTTTATCACACTACTTTCATCACATTTTATGATGTATCTCTTCCCATCTTGAATTCTTTAAGAAGGAAGCCATGTCATTAATGGAATCAGCATATGGCTGTTAAAAACAGGGTCCTCAACTAGACAGCCTATTATCAAACACTGCTTCCACAGCTGTGCCACCGTGAGTATAATCCTTAGTATCATCTGTAAAATGAGGAAAATGGGAATACCTGCCTTGTTGTGTCATTGCAAGCATTAAATGAGATAGTAATATACAAAATGCTTTGAATAGTACCAGTTTCAGTTAAATGTTTGCCATCATTTCTTTTTAATATCACCATGTCTTTAACGTCAAGCATAAAGTAGATGCACTCTGATTGTGTATATAAAAAAAGAAATTATATAACAATTAAACACTCTAAGGTATTTACTTTTGCATAGTTCTTCAAATAGTTGTGAGGAAATGGGAACACATATGTGTTCAGGTACTGAGCTTGAATGCCCCCTTATTCTAAATCATAGTTTCTTCAATAAGCTTCCACTTATTTTCCTAAAATATCTTATAAATAATCAAGAGTATTTGTAAACATATTTATAGCCTATGGAGTTCTAAAAGAGAATTCAGGCACGGAGCAGTGGCTGTGGTTGGCTAGATTCATGTTAGATGACTTTCTTCAGAAACATTTTGACAAAATTAGGTATAACCTAGGAAGCAATAAAGAATCTGCTCTTCTCATTCACTTTCCATTAGCTGGCCCTCCTGTGGAGACACTAGGTGCTAATTCCTGTTCTGCCTCCTACATGCACAAGTCTGACAGTGAATTTTTACCCATAAAATTTTTTTGCCATCTGAACAGAGAGTGGGAACTCAGGTATACGTGCAAGGCATGGGGATTCATGCAAAGCAATGTCCACGTCCTGAGAACTCTGTCTAGGAGAGGCTATAATCCACTGAAACTGCTCGAAATGCATTCATTCATTCAACTAGTACTGAGAACTACAATATTATGGCATAATTTTAGGGGCTAGGAATCCAGTGGTGAATAACTCAAGAGTATAAACAACAGACAGACCAAAAGCAAAATAAAATCCATTGGAAAACAATGATTCACTGTGGGGATAAATGAAACAGAAAAGGGGGTCAGATAAGGTAGGAGGCATGCAATTTTAAATGGGAGGATCAGGAAAGGCCCCATGGAGGCTTCTGAGATTTCTGATCATGTGTGCAATGGACTGAATGATTATAATGTTGTCCCCACCTCCGGTTTATATGTCAAAACTGTAGCCCCAATTTGATAGTATTTTAACATGGGCCTTTAGGAATAATTAGGTCACGAGTGTAGAACCCTCCTGAGTGAGACTGGTGTAAGAAGAGGGCAGAAAGCCAGTTGTCTTTTTCCCACCACATAAGAATACACTGAGAAGTTGTCAGGATGCAACGTAGAAAGGGGTTCTTACTGGAACCTGGCCTTGCTGGCACCCTGATCTCAGAATTCAGCCTCCAGAACTGTAAGAAATGTTTCTAGTTTAAGCCACCCAGTCTATGGTAATTTGTTACAGTGGCCGAATGGACTCAGAAAATGTTTGTGAAGCACATATATGGGAGAGCTTTTGTCTTTTTGAAAATAGAGTCTGTTCTTTCATGGCGTAACTTATTTCATGGAAAACAAATGTTTTTAAACATTTGCCTATCTAATACATTTTGAATACTGAGGAAAATTTTTTTCATTGCTTTTCCCCTGTATAAATAGCAATGGATTTCTCAAGCAATCAAAGAGCTCAAGAAAAAATAAAACAGAATTTTAAGAGGTCAGTAAAACTTAAGGTTACATTTATTAGCTTTCAATAACAATTCCCAAGACAAATCACAAAATTCGAAATAACAAGTTGGCTTTATGTTTGGGATCATTTAATAAACAAAAGGAATATTTTCTTAAAATTTTCTGAAAGCTCAAATTAAAAATAACTAAAAAGGTATTCTGCTCCATCAAGGTTCTGTCTCTGTGTTGTACCACAGATGATGCAAAATTCTCTTTGTGAATAAAGACTTAACTTCTGGGCCTTTGGAAGACACTTATGGTTTTGAGAAATTAATACACTTATCTCCACTGAAAAATAAAAGGGTCCTCAAACTCATCAGAAGCAACAATTCAAATTATTACTGAAAATGAGCATAAAATGTCCATTTGGAACATGCATGGAGTATTTTAAAATATGGAAATTGATTTCAATAACTCAGATTTACATTTAGTGCTTCATAAACTTAAGCTGCCTTGCAATCACTTGGGTGCTTGTTAGAAGTACAAAGTGTCAGGTCTGGTCCCAAGTTGTGAATGTGAAAACAGAACCAGAGAATCTGCATGAGAATCAAGCACCCGGGATATTAGGGTCCCAGGGATCCCCAGATGGAAAACAATGGTCTTGGAATGCAATAAAAACAAAGAAACAAAAATCCACTTCTACTCAGGAAAGAGTAAAGCACTGTACACAAAATCCTGAATATTTTCACACACTTTGATTAGTGGCTCAGCAGTAAAGAATCTTCCTGTAATGCAGGAGACGTGGGTTCAATCTCTGGATCAGGCAGATTTCCTGGAGAAGGGCATGGAAAGCCAATCCAGTGTTTTTGCTTGGAAAATCCCATGGACAGAGGAGCCTGGCAGGCTGTGGTCCAGGGGGTTGCAAAGTGTTGGCCACTACTGAAGTGACTGAGCATGCACACAATTTTATAATTAATGATCCATGTGGCTTTGACTCATAAAACTAGCACTTTCTATTTGGAAATTGTCAAAATATCGGTGTAAGGCAAAAGTATTCCCTTCTCATTTTCCTGTCTTCCCTAAACCATCCTGGCATCATTGGACCCTCACTTCTTTCTTTGGGGAGAAATGACTTAACTGATGGGTAAATATGAAAAGGATAACTTCCCTGTTCTGCTTAATTTCTCTCCATTTTCACTCTGGAAGCAAACTGCCCAATGAGAGCAGGTCTGTCCTGTGCTCCTCAAGCCTAAGTCTCCCCAGGCATCACCACCCTACCCAGGCTATGTGCGAGGGTCCATCCAGGGCAGCATTGCCTCTGACTGAGAGGTTCCCTAATTCTGGACCAGTCAGCAGGACCACGTGGCTCTCATACCATGCTGCAGCCTCTGACCTGGTTTCTATCATTAGCAGACCACATTAACACAACACACACCCACTTCTTTGTATTAGTTCTTATTCCTTTAGAACAAGGTGTGGGTAAGAGGGGGTGATGCTTATCCTGCTCCTTTCAGAACCTTGAGAGTCAGAGTCAGAAGGATTGTTGTCAGATACACATGTCAACATCACAGTAGCCATATTGGTCGTTGACCCAAAGATTGAAACCAGCAAGCCATGTCTGTACCATTTTATTTAAAAACAAGCCTACAATGTTGTATTTCTTTTATCATTTTATTTATTCCATACTAAAAAAAGAAAGAAACTGAAAGTAAAAATTCATACTATCCAAGTCACACATTGAAGTGTTGAAAAGTACTTAAAAATTTATACACAGCAATAACACAGGTTTATGACTAACTCTCAATCTCAGCTTTAGGATGTTTACCCAAATCTCTAAAGTGTCATTCAACTCATCTATTATCCATCTGATTTGCACTTACAACAGGCATAAACATTTAGTTAGAATATACTGACAGCACAATATTGGAAGTCATTTCATTTCTCTAACCTTCAGTTTCTTCATCTATAAATATTTTTTTTCTCTTCATATATATTTTTGCAGTTTTTAAAATTTCATTTTTTGGCCTCACTGTTCAGCATGTGGGATCCTACTTCCTAGATCAGAAATCAAATCCATGGACCCTGCATTTGAAGCATGGAGTCTTAACCACTGGACCACCAGGGAAGTCTCTTCTCTTTGCAGATTTGTGGCAAAAATATAATGGGAGTACCTATTGTTGTGATTTATAAGTAATAAAAATCATTATGAATTATTATTACTTTTACGAATTAGTATTTCTATTACTCAGGAATTTGATTTTTCTTTTTTTCCTCAAGGAATCAGGTAACTCTGCTCTATGTATGCAGTGTGTTCAGTCATATCTGACTCTTTGCGACCCCAGACTGTAGGCCTCCAGGCTCCTCTGTCCGTGGGATTCTCCAGGCAAGAATACTGGAATGGGTTGCCATTCCCTTCTCCAGGGGATTTTACTAAGCCAGAATCAAACACACATCTCCTGTCTCCTGCACTGACAAGCAGGTTCTTTACCGCTAGTGCCACCAAGAAAGCCCAAGGAAATCCTGGGTGCCCTGGGACAGGTGCTCTATACACTGTGCTGTGCTTAGTCACTCGTTATGTCCCACTCTTTGAGACCCCCATGGACTGTAGCCCACCAGGCTCCTCTGTTCATGAGGATCCTCCAGGAAAGAACACTGGAGTGGGTTGCCACACCCTCCTCCAGGGGATCCTCCCAGCCCAGGTATCGAACCCAGGTCTCCTGCCTTGCAGGCAGATTCTTTACCAGCTGAGCTAACTGGGAAGCCTGCTCTATATGCTATGGACAGTAAAAACAAACAAACAAACATAAACTCATGTTTCCTGTGCTCAAGAAGCTTTTACTTAAAAGAAGAGATGCAAGAAACAGTGGAAGCAAAAAAAAAAAAAGAGAGAAAGAGAGAATAGGAGAGTGGATTTTGTGCAGTAAGAGTTATAAGGAAAGAGGAGAGTAAAGACATGAGAGGAGAATGCGTTCAATATATATAAAGATATCCTAGACTTGCATGGATGGAAGGGGCAGGCAGGTAATTTCAGGAAGGCAGACACATGGGCAGAATCAGACAGGAGCAAACATGCTGTGAGTGCTCCAGTAGTCAAGCAAGATGATTTCCTGTCTGTTGGCAAGCAGCTCACTAAGCATTGTTCTTCTCTTCAAGGTAACGAGGATGCATACCAACATTTCACTTACGATTTTTGATAATAATCAAAATATGGCAAGCATATGGTTTTTAAAGATCTCTGTAAAAAAGTCTCTTTTGATTACCTTTAGCCAACTTTTCTAGCTTTCAAAGGAAAAGCAGAGCTAACATGGACCAACTGGTGGTGTGACAGGACAAGAGCAAGTCTAATTTTAAGGTTCAGAATTCTCTCCTACAAAGTACACTTGTCATCAAGTTAGAAAATGTTTGGGGAAGATTATTTTAATTAGGAGGCATAGTACATAAATGGGCTTTCCCAGTGACTCAGCGGTAAAGAATCCACCTGCAATGCAGGAGATACAAGAGACATGGGTTCAATCCCTGGGTCAGGAAGATCCCCTGGAGGAGGAAATGGCAACCCACTCCAGTCCTCTCGCCTGGAGAATTCCAGGGACAGAGGAGCCTGGTGGGCTGCCATCCATGGGGTCGCACAGAGTCCGACTCAACAGAGGGATTGAGCGCAAGCTCAAGCATCACATAAATGATCCCTAGCCTCCTAAGGGTTCCAGGGGAGAGAGAGATCTCATTGGTTTACTTTGTTTCAACTTTAAGTAATCTTATTTAATCAAAGAGACAATGCAGACGAGGAAATAAAAATGTCATTAACTTTGTTGTACCTCTCTACCTGGGATTTGCTTTTACTCTTTCCCAGCATAGCTATGAATATAGCCAGCACTCATCCACATTTTGGAGAAAGTACACAAAGAAGGAAATCAGTCCTAAATATTCACTGGAAGGACTGATACTGAAGCTGAAACTACAATACTTTGGCCACCTGATGCGAAGAATTGACTCATCAGAAAAGACCCTGATGCTGGAAAAGATTGAGGGCAGGAGGAGAAGGGGACAAGAGAACGAGATGGTTGGATAGCATCGTTGACTCGATGGACATGAGTCTGAGTAAGCTCTGAGGGTTGGTGATGGACAGGGAAGCCTGGCGTGCTACAGTCCGTGGGGTCACAAAGAGTCAGACAGGACTGAGAGACTGAACTGAACTGAACTGATGCAAAGAAGCAAAGCAAGGAAATGATGGCCAATTAGTCAATTCCTATCCTATATCCCTGTATATATCTGGAATTGTACTCCAGCCAATAATGGTACCTCTGTGCCTTTATGATGCAAAACATAAAGCACATCCCAGAGTGAAGAAGATAGCACTGCAAGGAAGCACCACTAATGACATCATTTATAATGAAATGAGTGAAAGTTCTTTAAGAGGAGGTGACATAGTATAGATGTCATGGCATAAGATCTCAAGCAATTCCTGTTCACTTCAAAAATCTCCCTCCTTTCCTAGCCTGAGGAAATTCATTTAAAGGAGCTGACAGATTTTCCTTAAATAATTATTCCAGCACTTAAACTGTTCCCTAAAGAACAGTCCTTCTGGAATTATAGTAGGGTGAGATTTGTTTCAGGCAAACATTTCTAGACTCACCTTAGATAGCCACTGGCAAGAATGGTTCTTGTTGTTGTAAAATGTGTGCATTTGAAATATATTAGCTAGGCAGGTCAATTTAGAGGTTTACAAAGATTTTGCAACTATAGAATTTCTTTGCTGATTCTGCATCTTCATTGAATATGCCTAAAAAATACCAACAAGATGCTAAGCTATTCATTCATTTTATCATTGATATATTCTAGGAGAGATATATAACAATACTGAAGGCAGTGTACTATTCTGATCATTATATTTTTAGTCTAAGATCTTGTTAGGGACCTACAGCTTATGTGCAAATTTGTAATGGAGATATATTTTCTAAAAGAGTTTAGCTTTGCAACCTCTGTCGTCACAAAGGAAGGCGTTCAGGTCATTCCCTCTGTCTCTGTGAACATTTTCAATAACAGGAAGGAGTTAATTCTACTTTTCACTTAGGTGATGTTAAAAGGCTCTGCTAATTTCTCCTTCAATGCACCAGTGATATTTAGGAATTGCTGAATATAGTGAAGACAGATGTGGGATTTGGGTGTTTGTTCAGGTGCTTCTGGTTTCTAATTATTTTATCATTATCCATTTCCCCCTGTAATTTGTTTAAATTTGGAATCACATCACCAACATATCTCATTGCTGCCAGGTCTTCAATATTCTCCTGTTTATTCATTAGAGAGTTTCTGTTACCAAGTCATTAATAACCATGAATTTACTGAGACATAAAGTCACTCATGTACTTAGTTCTATTCAAATAGATGTCTGGAAAAGCACTTATTCCAAATATACTACCTTGACCTTTCTAATCTGGGAAACTTAGATTATTTCTTCAGTTGTAGAAACTTAGGGGGAAAAAGGCTTCCCTGGTGGCGCTAGTGGTAAAGAAGCTGCCTGCCAATGCAGGAGATGTGGGTTCAATCCCTGGGTGTGGAAGATCCCCTGGAGGGCATGGCATTCCCCTCCAGTATTCTTGCCCGGAGAATCCCACGGGCAGAGGAACCTGGTGGGCTAGCATCCATAGGGTCACAAAGAGTCGGACACAACTGAAGTGACTTAGCACAGAGGAAAGAAAGAAAAACAACCTAGCACTTACAAGGAAGGTTGGAGAGAAAAAAACATATGAGTTCTAGCTTCTGAAGTCTGTGGTTGATTCCAGTTCTGCTATTTGGTTGCTCAGAAATGAGACACATTCCTTAGCCCCTTTGAACAAATGTTTTCACCTATAAAAGTGGTTATTGAAAATAACCTATACACTATCTGATGTGTGGCAGAACGCAGTCTAGTATAAATTGCAATGCAAACTGTTCAGAATCAGCATAAGGAAAATTATGTTTTTAGCAGTTCTGCTCTCAATGTTTAGGAGGCTTTCTACCAGAAGTTTTGTAAGAAGGGATAGTGAAGCAGTCATTCAAAAATCTGAGTTACAAAAGGGTCTGTGCCTTGATTCAAAACCACTCTATGATTTTGAAGGTCTATGAGGTTGACATTTGATTACCTTGATCTTATGGATGAGGAAACGTGTTCAAGAACTTTGGTGACGCATAGAGCACATAGCCAGCATGTTTCAGGGGTAGCAATTGACCAGTGTGTGTCTGTTTTCAAGGTTCTGTGTCTCCTAGACTCAGTATTGTCCTGCCCCTAGAGCCAAGTTCTACCATTAAGTCACAAAGGAACTCTGTAGAGCTCATTACTTCTTCATGACCTGTAATAGGGACTTTGACTGGATGGGCTTTCATATTTGCCTACTCACAGTATCTCTGATTCTTGGTCCCAGACTTTGTCACATATACAGAATGTCCCACATTTCTCCTTGAAAGGAACATAGGCATACCTCTCAAAGAGACATTATGTTCCTTCCCTACTATGTAAATGTGTCTCAGTAAAATGCATATATTAGTAATGCTCAGGAAATATTTATTGATAATAGTCATAATTTTATATATTCTAATTGTTCTCCTCAATGTATACAGGCCCAGGAATTACTTCATCTAGGGAAGAAAGGTTTTTTTTTTTTTTTTCCAATAAATAATCTTATGCCTACTAAACACCAGTCTTGATGGTTCAAATGGTCATGATGATAGATAAGAGGTGGAAATCACTTCATAAAGGAAGTGCATCTTGATTGACAAGAAAACAGAACAGAAAGATCATCATCAAGCCACAATGAGAACTTTGTATGTAATTATGAGCCCTAATGTTAGATTACAAGGCATTAGCAATTCAGCGCTAAGACAGGGCTTCTTAACATTAAGCTTGCTAACATGGTCTTTAGTGTCTACCTTCAGGATGTCCCCTGGTCAACAGCACATGGTGACTGTGCAGTGAGCCCAGGGCAGAGAGCCCTGGGCAGTCCTGCGTTACAGCAGGGTGGATAAACTTGTGCCATCACTTTGAAAATCAATTTGATCTTAAATACATATCAAGATACTCAAAACAGCCCATTGTCTTGTTCCAGTCATTTTTCTTATAAGATCCTTTCCTAAGAAAATAATTCAAAATATGTATGTAATTTCACACCCAAAGATTTTATTACAGAATTTTTCAAATACTGGACAAAATGCAAATAATTTACATGTCTTAAAATCAGGGTAAGTAAATTATATTACACACATTTATAGAATATAATGTAGGTATTAAAATATTTATGAAGGATCTATAATCTAATAAAAAAAATTCTGCTCCACTATTGAATTTAAAGTTACATCAAATTTTTTACATCTATTATTATTTAAAGAAACAAATCTATGTGTATAAAAAACTGAAAGTAAATAAGTAAAAATATTACCAGTGGTTATTCTTTGAATGGTGAGATTATGGGTATTTTATTTATATTTTTTCTTTTTGTATATTTATAAACTTCTTATAGCGATTGATTGTTACTTTTATAATGAAAAAACATTCCCTTTCAGGTTTGATTTCCAATGCTATAATCTTTTCATGCTTAAATGAACTTTAATGACTTACAAATATATGTAAATAAAAAGACTTTATATGTATATAAAAACACAAATTGTGTTTGATTGTACCTCAACCCAATGGTTCTCAGTATTGTGGGAGGTGATTTTGCCTACTCTTCTTCCCCTCGGGGGATTCAACAGTTTCTGGAGACACTGGTCGTCTGAGTCTGAGGACATGTGCTACTGGTATTTAGTACGTAAAGGCCTGGGATGCTACCAATAGCCCTATCTTGCAGAGGACAGCATCCTCCACAAAAAATCACCCAGCCAACAAATGCCAATAGTGAAGTTGAGAAACCCTGCCTTTTAAACAAAGTGGTTAAAAATTAAATTAGTTCAAGACTATGATGGGAAACCTGAGTTTATTACCAGAACCTTTGAATAAACTTGCCTATCTATCACCTATCCATCCATCTACTCACTCCCAGACACAGAGGGTTTGTAGATAAGTGCTCCTCTTATGTGGGACTTGAAGTTTAGTGAAAGAGAAAGGCAGAGAAATCAAGGGTGTAATGTAGTTTGTAGTGCTAAGATGGAGTGCTTTGGAATAACAGAAGTAGGAACTCCATCCATCTAGGCAGTTCAAGGGAGGTTTTCTAGAAGAGATGGTTGCTCAGTAGAGCTTAAAGAAGGAGTTAATCAGGTCAGGTGGTACTAGTGGTAAGGAATTCTCCTGTCAATGCAGGAATCACAAGAAACAGTTTTGATCCCTGAATCAGGAAGATCTCCTGGAAGAGGAAATGGCAACCCACTCCCAGTATTCTTGCCTGGAAAACTCCATGGACAGAGGAGCCTAGCAGGCTACAGTCCATGGGGACACAGAGTTGGACATGACTGAGCTACTGAGCACAAATACAATCAGTCGAGGACCAATGACGGGAATTTTATTCTAGAAGGAGGGACAATCACAGAACAGGCAAAGGCATGATGCATGAAATAGCACAGGGTGCTTGGGAAATAATGAGCTGGATGGTATTGCAAAATAAAAGTCAGGGTGGGGAAGAGGCAGAGAAGCCACAGGGCTGGAGTATCTTTTCTGCCTGAGGAAGTCAAGAAACGTTTTTCAGAGAAGGTAGACTATGACCTAAGAGTTGAAGGCTGAAAAGATGTTTTCAGAAATATGAGGAAAGAAAGGCATTCTCGGAGAGAGAACAGCACACACAAAATTATGGTACCTGGAGGCAACACAAAATGCTCAGGGAACGTCAGGGTAGTGTTGCTGAAACACGAAGTTGAGGAGAAAGAGGAAAAGAAAAAGGAGAAAAGACCAGCGATGAGGTTGAACAGGAAGTATTGGTCTGATCGTGACCTTCGTATCATATCCGAAGACATAGAGATTTTATTTTATAATTGAAACAGAAGAATCTTGAGCATTAGCTCAGTCACCAGGTCTAGAAAAACTTCCCTCTTGAGAATATGAAGTCAGATTGGAATAAAGTAGGATAGGTGTGGAGTTAAGATGAGACAAGTGTACTGATTTAAAGGGACAAGCCATCAAAGATGCAATGAGAAACCCACCGATGCATATTTGTTGTGCCTCCATGATATACTTTGTCTTTCTCTGGACCCTGTGGAAACACAGGGAAAATTCACTCTATGCTGAGGTAGCATGGTCTCTTCTCCAGCTGAGGAGAAATATAAATGAACACAAAGTCAAGACTTGAGGAACGATTACTGTTATCAAGTGTACATTGTATGATATACATCAGGACTGACAGAATTCAGATTAAGGAGGAAATGTGGTATGAGAGAGGGAGAAGGTTTTGCTCTGGGTTGAAATGGGGAAATACGGGTGGCATTTGAATAAGAGAAGGTATTGTAGGAGAAAAGAAAGGAATATGAGGCAGGACTTAGAAACTGGGATAAACACGAAGCGTTCTTGAATATTCGAAACGAGGTTATGTCAACTGTCAGTGGTTCTCAAGGATGTGCGATGCTGAGTGCTTTGAAGTATCACTCAGATTCAGCTCAAAGGTCACTTCTGTGAGTCCTTTCTGATATTCCCCACCTTCTGAACAGTACTGGTCAGGCTTTTCTAATGTCTCTCTATACCTTGTAAACATTTGAGACCAGGAATATTTACTAAACCAATTTGTCTGTGTGTAAACTTCTTTAGCTGAAATTATGCCCCTAAGTTCCCAATTACCAACATCTTTAAGTTTCCAGTACACTGCCTGGTACACAGATCACTTAAAAAAAAAACACCTTTGTTTCACGGATGATTGAATGAATGATCATGTTTAGTAATAGGTAAAATGGAAGTTAAGAATAAAGGTAGCAATGATACTAACTCTTTTAAGTCGTACAAAGTATTTGGTGATAATTTTAAGAAATATCATTTAATTTACTTCTCACAATAATTCCATGAGGTAGCTACTATTATTCACCCCATTTTTGAAAGAACTAATGTTCAAGGTGGCTATAAATCTTGCCCAAGACCATATGGACCATCAAAATCCGAGCTGTGAACTGACTTTAGGTCTGTCACACTTCAAAGAACATGAAATTACCCACTGTTTGTATATTTTCCATTTTCAAGAGAATTCAAACTTACGGTGATTTTACTTTAAAAAAAAAATTTGCTGATTCAATGTATTTGCCCTCGACCCAAAACACTCAGTATGTTAATAATATAACACCAGGAGGACCAGTTTACTTTAAAGAGTTGAAATGTGTTTTTGAACAAACCTATAAGATAAGGGTTTATAACTCAAATGAAAAAAGCAAAATGCCTCCATATCTGAGAGGCAATGAAAACGAAACAAAAATCAGTAAGCAGGGGGACCCTAACTGTTTAGCCCCAACATTGACTCAATGTATAACATGATCATGTGGATGGTTTCATTTATATTATGCTCATCAAAAGTAGCCTAGAAATTGTGAAATTAGGGGAAGGGAAAACATTACATAAGCACATACATCCTATTTTAAATCACTTGCTAATTTGGCAGATAACTCCATCAATCCCAAACAAAGGATTAGATATGCACCTACTCAATGAGACCAAAGGGCTCAAAAAACCTAGACAACTTTTCCAAAGGCAAGATCTCATCAACCTGAGATTATTTCTTAATCAGCTCTTTTATTGCCAGCTCTTAGTGTAGGGGTTGGCAAATTATAGCAAAAAGTCAAATTCAGCCTGCTACCTGCTTTTGACCTTTCAGCTATGTTGTTTTACATTTACAATGGTTAAAAAATAAAAATAAAAGATATTTTATGAAATGAAAATTATGTGAAATTTGGATATGTGTCCATACATATTTATTGGAAGACAGCCACACCCATTTATTTTTATACCTTTTATGCTACAACAACAAAGTTGAATAGTTATAACAGACCGCATGACTCACAAACACTATGATACTTATCATACAAAAAGTTGACTGGCAACTGTTCTAGAATAAAGCTCGGCAGGTGCCAAAAATCTCAGTGAAGAAATCATTGCAAACATCATGAATTTGGCTTTTTAGATTTATTGCCTAACCAAGTGGTTCTCAAAATGGGCCCTGGATCCTCAGCATCCATTAGGAAATGCCAACCCGACTTCTCTGGTTGGTGTGGTTCCAGCTCTGGTCCAGGAATTTCCACACGCCACATGATGCAGCCAAAAAAAATAAAAGAAATGCCAGTTCCTAGATGCTAACT